TTTTATCTATGCATCTTACTGTGTAAGTATTTTGTCAGGAGCAAAGAATTAGGTACACAGCGAATCACCGGATATTTTATTCTTAAATTTTAATAATTTTAAAATTTTAGGATTAAGGACGGTCTGAAATAAAGAGAATATGGGGTGTGGCACCCCCTTCAAAAATATTGTTTCTCTTATGAAGTCAGTTCTGAACAACTTTAAGCCATTAAGCCATTCTAACCGGAATATTACAGGTTATTACCGCAAAGATATTTAATCACTTACAATAATTCACAACACACAGTATCAACTTAGGAAGATATAAGACTGTATCGAAACATAGGCAGAAAAACCATTAGTTTTAACCCATTGACTGCTGATTCGTCTTTTTGGGTATGATCCGCATATGGTGTACGGCTTGCAAAATATTCCGCGCGAGTTTAGAGCAGCCGCAGTCAATGGGTCAGCGAAATTATTTAAACCTTTTGTGTTTTTAAACTTAATTTTGTCTGGTGTCTCAGTAGAAAGCCAACTAATTCAAATTTATCATCTTTCTCTTTTTTTATCTTTCTAAATATAAAGGACAAGTTAAAAAGTCTGGGTAGATAACGTTATCAACCTTTATCTACCCAGACCTTTTAACTCGTCCTTTATATTTAGAAAGATAATAAATTTGAATTAGTTGGTCATATTATACTAAAGTGTACGCGATAGTTTTTATCCAAGAATTTCTTAAAAGATAATGGTGAATAAGACTTAAACAAATACATTATGATTACAGTTTGTTTTCAGAATGGTTTGCTAGAATGTGATTAGGTGTTAAAGTGTCTGTGAAAGGGCTTAAGTTAGGGGGCATCTGAAATTAGATATTTGTTGTTATTTGTTTTATGTCAATAATATACAATTTTCGTTTTAATCTAACACGAAATGTGAAGATGGCTATTCCTAAAATAAAAGAAGGTAATTTATTGTGAATTCTAAACAATATTTTAACATATTTCCCCGTAATCCCCTCTAGGTTACTTTCTTCTCGTGCTTAATACTTGAACCACGTGACCAACAAGTTAATTGTTAAGGAAGAATTATCGCTGAGGCACAATGTACAGCAGTTTTCCATTAGAGTAGAAAAGCACGTCTTCACTATCAGTATACAGTATTTCAAAACGTGGTGAATTGAGAAGGGTTATTGTTAACTATCGTGACACGAACAATGTGCTCTGGTGCTTTGGTGTAAAGCCATTATTCTCATTCATAAAGAAGGAAATTTACGTTCATCTGCTTTCTTTTAATACATACGCTTAGTTGGCGCTTTGTCTATACTAGCTGAAGTGAAAAAGTTGGACACATTATGTTCATTTACTTACTAGATTCATGAGTTTACTACCCTCTTGCAAAATCTGAGTGTTGAAAGTATGAATCACAATTTTAAAAAAAATGTTTTAAATATTCTTTGTCACAGACTCCTAAGAAAGATTATATGGAAATCAAATTTATTATTTCAGATCTATTTTCAACTTGAACAGACACGTCTTTTAGGTGTCATAACTTAGTTTTTGTAACAAAAATATCGAAGATTACACTCGCATAATTACCCCAGTTTTAATTTATAATCTATACAAAAATATGACACTTTATTCATTCTCCAGGTAAACATTTCGATGTTGCATGTAGGTTAATAATAGAGAAGTATAATGAAGCGGCCTAAATCATAATTATTCTTATAGGTTCTGTACTGTTTCAAGTTCTTTGAATTGATATGCCTTGCTCGCAGCAATATTGACGACTTTGTGTTAACTAAATAGAGATGTAGATGGAAAAGAAGTGATAGGGTTGTGTTTAGTCTATATAGATAAACTATTATTAAGCTATCTAACTCATGGTCGGGCGTGAGCTAGTGGTTAGCGAGTAGATGACAGGGTCGAAGGTTCGAGACACAAGACACGTTTCGCACTTTCAACTGTAGTTACTATATGCAAGTGAATTGCCTAACGCTAGGAAATTTTCTTTAATATTTCTTACTGCCTTACTTGACTATCATGAGACAACTGTAGCTGATCATCACGAGTCTCGTGGTACTCCTCTCTGCCAGACTAGTATTATTGCTAATTACATGAAACTTAAATATAAAGACAAGCCAGCGGTTATCGTTCGTTTATTCTTCAAGAACTTTTCAATATATATTTTTAATTGACATCATAAAGTTCTTGAACAGTTATCTATTATCCAAAAATGGTCAAGAATAATGTGAGGTTAGCTCATTAATTTATCCATCTAATATATTACTTTCTTTCGATCAACGAAGTCATACTAGATTTACAGTTTGAAGTATATTTTGTACTTTTATAGTAATTGTTGACTTCTCGGCGATATTTAATTTGTTGCGATTTACAATATTTATATTTTTTTCAATAATTAACTTAATTCATGACTTGGGTTATCCTTTGTAAACTTGGTATAATCTGTAGCCACTACAGCTTAAATTTTTAGATAATCTTTTGTCTTATGGAGATATTTTAACGGTTTACTAACGTCTGCAGGATAAAATTATTTTTCGACACTATTATCACTTCTTTTAAACGTTTCTGAAATCTAGGGGAAACGTAATATAAGCATTTACAAAAATTTTAACGATTTTTATCAATGTAATGGTAGAAACTGGACCATGAAGGAATTGTAGGAATGATTAGTATAAACTGTTGTTACACTTGTAAGTTTACAAAAATATAATTATTTTTTATGTTGGAAATATACAAAACAGTTTACGAAAGAAAACTGAGAAACCATTGTAATCAATAGCCACACCCTCACAGAGCCAATGAATATCATTTTAAGAATGAAAAAATGTAAACCTAAAGTCAAAGTTTCACATTTATAGCAAAACACATTGTGAACAATGTTTATTTATCCAACTAGAAACACCTAAGAGATTCAACAAAGCACATCAGGATATTTAAAGGAGATACTTTTTTATTCCGTATTATTGATTACTTTTCATTAAAGGATTACTTTCCTTGTTCTATATTGTAATTTTAATTGCCGTAATTGTTTTGCTTTTACTGAAGGGTTAATATTTGAATTATGCACGATGTTTTTATTATCTTGTATTGCATTTTACATTGTACCATTCTTTTATAGTTTTTTACTAATTATTATTATTGTAACTTTCATTGTTGAAATTTATATTTTGATTTTTTGTTAAAGTATTTTTATTTTCCTGTCTCAGCTACGGATTGTGCTGAGTAAGTAGTTTATCAGGCGCAAGGGATTAGGTATTACAGGAACACATCGAATAAGCGGATTTCTATTATATTTTTTGGAATTTTATATTTTGAGCTGAAGAATGGCCTGAAAACAAGAAAAAAATGGGTGTAATACCTTTTTCAAAAGAAATATATTTTATCTAATAATGATAACTTTTCGGTTTATAGCTTTCATAATTCTGCCAAGATTCTTAGATGTCCACTTCTAGGTTCATTGTTGAGTTGTGTGTGTGTGTATTCGCTGAATACTTTTTACAACCAGCGATATGCCATATTAAAGCAGACATTTTGCCATAGTGTTCTCTATGGTTTATGAAATTCAATATCAGTTAAGGGAAGCCTTAACTACTTGTCATTTGCAGAGATTGAGTACGTTATTGAAACGCTTTTGGAGACTCAGCAGGTAGTTACAGTCCATGTAGCCATGTACAGTCACTTTGACGACTGTCTACGTGGACAAAGCCTTGCAGCGTGGCTTGCATTGTGAAAGGTTCCGTCTTAAGGCTGTCATGTTCACAGCACACCACTCCTTCAGCGCCCGTTTCAATAGTTTAATCGGACATAAATCCATATGCACTACTGTCGGCGACTTGAGGGTATGTCTTTGTCTTTTTTTATGTGATATCATGAATATCCGTTTCATTCTCCACAGCTTCAAGTATGCGAGAGCTGAACAGATATGTGGTAAAAGTAGTTTATGTACATATAACATGTGTTGTTTTACGGACCACTTTTGATTACGTTGCGTACTGCTGTCTGGGGCAACAGTACAACTATTGCCACTTATTTTTGTATTAGTAGATTCTTATCTCTTACAAGACGTCGCATTTTGCTTAACACGTCGAGGGTGCGACTTGTTGCAGGCGTCTTTTGTGATGGTCCTAGTTTCCCAAGTCGATCCATACTGTTTTGCTTTCCAATGCTGTTAAGTACAAGTGATATCCACTTCTTCGAAATTCTAACTATCTTATCTAAACACATTTTTATGATCTTAGGGTATGAATCGCTTGTAACGGAAAGGACGATTACCTACCCTTCCCATAAACGATCACTTTTCGATGGCTTCACGCTACCTACAAAATGGCAAACAGCGTTAAAATGTAGTTTTGATACATCTCGTTATATTACAACATTATATCGGCTGTGGTTTTAGTGACTTGCCGAGTTGCATATTCAGAATCGTTTTAATATAATGTACTCAACCTTCTGTAATGGTGATTGACTTACTTTAGGCTAGATTTTATAACTTATGACATCTTTAGAATTTTAATATAGCTTTTCATTATTAAAACAGAAAAATAATTCTGACTATTTGTTTTGAAAGTTTTCTGTGACACAACGTATACTTACTCAAATGCTGTGTGCACTTACATGAGTACTGTTTACGCTTTTTCGGGTACTGCTTACAATTTATTAAGTACAGTTACAGTTGAAATGAACAGTGATTACTTTTACAGGATATTTTCTCCTTTTGACATGTCTTTTTTATAATATGGCTATATTATAATACAGATATATAGATGTTTAATATGTAAAAATGCTATAAAACAGAGCAATAATGTATATATATTTTTCATTTAAAAGTATTTTTTGAAAGAGTATAAATGACAACCGGATTACGTATAGTTGTTTTGTGTATCTGATCCTAATATGAACTCGTAAAAATACATATAAGGTGATTATTTATTTGACTTGTTTCATCATATTTTGGTGTTAGAAGTAATTTTTATGAACTCTTTATTTATTTCCAACTTTCAGATACTTCTGGATTATCTCGGTTTTCTCTTCAAGGAATGTTTCCAGTAGTTTTGTTCGCAGCTATTTCCTCTATTCTTTATCCAGATCTTCTCTGGTAGTAGTCTTCATTGGAGCTCCAAACCTGTAATGGGCGTTAAAACACATTGAGAAAAATGCATGATTCTAACAGAAAAAGAAATGAGACATAAAAATGGCGCAAAAACAAAAACATTGTGGAAGAAGAACATAGTTTAGTTGAATTGGATATCTACTTAACATCACATTTTAAAAGCCAGAGTCCAAACCATTTTTCGCTAGCTTCATGAACCAAACGTTTTATTTTCGGTTATAAAACCTCTGGACTGTCACTGAATCGAATTACAGGGATATGAACTTTTGAACGGTATTATTATCGACTGACATTCATGTGGTAGGCTAAAAGTAACTCTAATATACTGATATTCGTGCCTCTTTTCAATAGACCTTTAAAATGTATATGTATATTCTGAAAACTGTACTTTCTGATGTATATGTTGCTTTTTAAATCTCTTATCTCAGAACCTTTGAGTTTTATTAGTCGATGATTAAGATAACTACCACTAGGTGGTTAATACACACTCAGTAAACACCCAGATGAAGCAAATTCAGTTTACAGTCATGTAACATTAACTATGAAAATAATATACATGCTAAAAATATTTGGTTTAATGTTTAAAAAAATCACTTTCTGAAATATGATAAATGTCACAGGAATACACACACAGATCTACGTATATATACATAGGAAAATAATCGAGACAGCGTTTTAAGTTTTTAATGGAACATCAAAACAAAATTGCTTAGAATGAATAGGACAATTTTTTGTTATATATATATGTCTTAAATGTTGAATGCAGTATTTGCTAGTTTTTCACAAGTCTTTAAAATAATACTCTTAATATTATACATTGAAATCGAAAGATTTAAAAACAACAATTTTTTTTCAAACACCTAAGCAACCTTATATGTAATTAAGAACAAAGTTACATCAGATGGCGTAGCATAGTTGCCTATTCATTGATTCGTATATTGTTTTATTCCAATAAAATGAATGTTGACTGTTTGATTTTTTACATGAAATAAATTATCATAATATATTGTACAGAGTATCTGAGATTTATGGCGCATTTGCAATGAAATACAAAATAGAAAAAAAAATATCTGGACTTAAGAAGAGTTTTAGGCTTGGAAGAATCTTAGTACAGTGTTTCTAAGCAGAAAATGCTTAGTTTAAGTACTGGTTTAAAATTTACTCAGCAAATGTCGCATTTTCTTATGTTAAAAAGGAACATTTATATGACCCCGATGTTCATAATATTTCATACTATTTCCGATTTCGCTAATTACAGTAAAGTATCTGTGGTGACTGATTACTGAACGTAGTACAGCAGTTAGGGTCTATAACCACTTTGTCTTGTAAGTAAACTATAGATATTTCAAATAAGTAGTTATGAAAACAAATGTTAGTGGGGTTTAAACCTGGGTCCCTCAGGAACAGGAGGAAGACGAACATTATTTTTAAGATAGTGTGTTAAATTGTGAAGCACTAACGAATCTGGATAATTTCATTGTTATGATATACGATTAGTTAAATATCTGATACATTTTCTTCCAATTTGTTAACGATTTATTTCTATAAAAACAAATCCCGACAAATGTGCACACTTGTTCCAGTAAAATAGGAAACACGTCAATTTACATTAGAACATAGCGACCTATCACGCTTATCTAAACAATACTGTCACTAATTTCTTCCAAATCAGAGACCAATAATAATGACGATGTCAAGCAGCGCTGTGTACCAGGAGATAATTGTGATGATGTAGATCTAATGTGGACTGATATAAATACATAACAGCAAAATAATTAAATAGAAGGTGTGTTTGTTAGGGATAACTTCAAACTTTTTTCGCGCTAAATTTAGGTACAAGATGGGTCTTCAGTTGAAAAACCACGTAGAACGATAGCTCGTGAATTAACATAGGTTTAAGTTTAAAAATCAGAATGAATTATGTAATTACGATGCTTATTTATTACGTCTTCAACAAACTCTGACAAAATACAGAAAATCAAACTGAGGTAAGTGTAGCAGCTAATATTAAGTTTAAGCAACTTCGAAAAGTTAAACAGTTTAAGTTAAATTAGCAAACGACAACATAAGAAAATCTCATTTATGATTTGAAATTCACGCACTTGGCAAAATTAAACGTTATGGAAATATCCAGGTCATCTCTTAATCTATATACAAATTTATTTATTTATGCAGGCTTGCGTAACCTTTACTGGAACTTTCATTACTGTATTTATCATTTTGCCTGATGAAAGCTTCAGTATAACCGAGCTGAAAGTTGCATAAATAAATTAGTATTTACATTGAAAATGTCCTAGGATTATTCGTAATGTCCAATATAAGTAAATCCTGTTACTGATCAGATCATATGTAATTCCAAAGGGAACAGTTTGGATTGAGGCTAAAAGAGGTTAAGTAATGTCATCTTTTATCATCCTTTGAAGTCAAGCAATGAGTTAATGTAATTGATCAGAAGGAATAATATAAATTAAATAAGATATTATGTTTATAATAATAGACAACTTTTCTAGGTAAAGTATGTGCGGTTTAATATGTTGAAAATGAGCATATGTTAAAAGACAATAGATTAATAAAAGCACCAATGTTTTAACAATACTTACTGCTATTGTAATGAATATTAAATCTATAAAAATGTTATATTTTTATTGATAATGAACAGCATCTGAAAGAAGAAAGTACATAATGTCAAACAACTCGTTTATTTAATTGTTTGAAATAAAAATTGCTTTGATTATTTAGATGTGTGTAACTCCTGTGTTTTCCTTCAATATATATATATTTATACGGGAAAGTAAAAACAAAGAGCAATAAAAATATTCTAGGATTTATAAATATAATCTATCAATTGTATAAAAAGACACTAATTTAGACGCGGTGCATTCTGGGTTTGAACGCCTCTATCTATATTGAGATGAACTATTTAAATTTTTTACCCACCTGATGCGTAGAACAAAGGTTAAAACTTGACAGTAGGTTAGATAGAGAGTAGTGGTTTAGGTGGTGTACATTAGGGGCTCTAGTGCATATTTCTGCTTCTTATTTTGAATTTTAAATAACTATCACCAAGGCTTAGAAACAGAAGAAGTAGAGAATAGAAATTGTTTTGGCTACAAACAGTAAAAGGTAGTTTAAATGGGATTGTAACTCCACATCTTTTCTGATGTACCACACTCTACTGTTTGTACTCTATGGTATCTAGTTTTATTTAACTGCTTGTCCCAATGTTTGTGATGTTTTTTTCTCTCTCTTTGCAAAGCATTTGTTTATACAGTTATGCTAAAAGCTACTAACGTCGTATATGTACGACAGACAAATAAAATTACGACACAAACTACAGAACTTAAAGGTAGCGTATTTTTAAACACGTGTAGAAGAAAGATCTCCAGATGTAAGACCAACACAGCGGTGAGAACTCATTGGCCATAAAAACCACATGTAAAAGTAAACTACACATTAAAAATTAGGACCAGACATAGGTGTCGAGTCCAGACGTCCCACAGCTGACACCACCATTCAGTGTATCTAGCCAGTTGTAGGAAGGTAGTTCTTCGTAATTAAACAGCAAAGTATTACAGATTCTTTAATGTCACAATCTGTATTAATAATAATCAAACTTAAGATTCCTAGGTCACTATACAATAGTACTAAAGAAAGAATACTGGAATTTACCTTCCTAACTTAATACATCACTCAAGTCGTATCGTATCATTACCTAACTCACATATAATTTTTTCTCTCATTGTTATAATTAATGATGTCATGAGCTATGAATCATTCTTTCTGAAGTTTCTGTACATTATAGCTTCGGTAAATCTAATTTTGACTCCAGCTCAAATACTTGAAATTTATATATTTTGTTATAAATTATCTCACGTCAATTTTATACTATGCTCGTGAACTTCCAGATTTGTCAGATTTCATGGTATTTTTGCTATTAAAGTTATTCAGAATTCAAAGCCATTGTTTTCAAGATTTCTCACAACTTTTAATTCCCTTGAAAATTAATAGGCTGTCAAAATGTACATTGAACGTCTGCACATGCTTAGCAACCGTTACGATGTTTCAAAACAAAGTCATCATCGAAGAAAGGCTGGCAAACGCTACTAAGGCGGTAAAAAAATTGTCGATGAAGCATTATTTCTTAGTACCAATTTATATTTCAGTGAAAAGTACTGACTATGGCCGAGACTGGTGGGAAAGGTACACCTGTTATACTCAAGACGTACTTGTCTGTTCGACCTCTTTGTAGTCCATTAATTTAATCTATACATAAAGGTGTTAATGTAAGCCTTATTACTTGGGGGGCTGATAGAGCTATTTACATCTCTTGTTAAAACATACATCTACTTCTAACGGTAGTATTGACAAAAGTGTTTACTGTGTACTATTAATCATGTACATGTGCATTCCACTAATGTAATTAACTGTGGTAAGACTATTAACATTTACAAGTAGCCACTGTTTTCTGCGTATTTACGTACATTAAATGAAATTTTGATAATTAGGCCATTTTAACTGGATGTGCTTTTATCATCATGAATTAAAAAAATGAAAGAAGCAATCTCAACATTTTGCAATCTTATAGTTTTTTAAACAAAATACTAGTAAAAGTGTAATCATTTTCAAATGATTTAGCCTATCCAATCACATTAATAATGACATATCCCGCTTAGATGATAGAGTTTCTGAAAAACAGATCAAGCGTCATTATAACCACAGCAACAGAGCCACTATAAATAAATCCGTTATATTTTTAAATCATCATATTAAGCTCTGTTCCTTCTATACTGTTGTTTTCACGGACTTGTTTTGCATATTTTTGATATTTTCAACACAATTAACGTATTAATTGTACATAATTTCAAATAAGAGTTCTAGCATCGATAAAAAAAAAACATACCTGTTTTGTTACATATTAACGTTCGTTTTATTTTTCAGCCCCATTACTTAACTATTTAAGGAAACCCATAGTTCCCTCGTTACTCTAGAAATCAGAGAATAATTCTTACCCTATAGCATACGACTGAGTCCTCAAGTGTTGCTATAGGAACTCATCTACATTGCTCCCAAAAAAGTAACAACCTGAAACCAAAATTGGCTTGTCTAGAAAGGGTTCAGAACAAAACATAAGGATAAAAAGGGACTGTTTATTGGACAAAAGGTTAAAAACTTATTCAAGAAAATTTATTGGGAAGTTGACGTTTAAGCGTGACCCGCCCGTTTGCAAGTCATGGAGATGGCACAAGTACCGATTATGATTATCAGAAAGCTAACATTAAAACTTTCCAGTTAGAGGATTTTAACACGCCATGAAGAGATTGAAATAAGTCAGTATACTCAATCCTTGATACTTTTACCATTATAACTTATCAGAATAACGAATTTATAATGGGACAAAGTTTTTTACTTTTTTTTTGTTGCCCACCTGTG